GTATCAGACCCCTGTGTGAACGCTACACAGCACTGATGTGACACGCATGCGCAGTAAAAGACGTGACGTCTCATCAGCCGGCTTGTTTGTTTACAGAGCTAGCATGGATGCTACATTTTGCGCATCGAATCAGAAGTTGTTGTTCAATCAGAGCCGATTAAATAATTATCTGACATCTTGTTTAGTCAGTGTTTATATCTGAAGCTGCCTCTGACCGGGATGCTCCAGTGAAGCTTTTTTTTTTTTTTGAACGAAACTACGAGCTGGAAAAAAGTATCGGCCAAGTATCGAACTTTAGGATCGATACTCTCCGCGACCCAGGCTGGACATATTATCAAACTATCTACGTGGAAAATGAAAAGTAAAAAGATGAAACAACTGGACTTGTGTTTTGGAGATGTAAACACACGGAGCTACAGATTTAAACAGCGAGACTTGAGGTTAGTGTCTTATCGATCCTTCACCCCCTCCTCCTGATGAAAAAGTCAGATGAATGTGACATGAGCGTTCACACTGCAGTCACTTTGAAAACATCAGATATATATCCGATTTAAAACCACATACTGAAACGGCCTGGGTCYGATTTGAAAAAATCGGATTTGTCTCGTTCAGACTGTCATAAAAAAATCGGATATGAGTCAGATGGGTCAAAAAAATCGGATTTGGGTCGGATTTGCCTGCAGTGTGAACGTAGCCCTTGATGTTTCAGGACCCCAACTTTGGGAAACACTGTTTTAGAGAATTAGTTCTCAAAATAAGCTTCTCCTTGAAAAGTCATCTTTAAATAAAACTAGTGAGGACTAAACAGCTCAGACAACTCAATGTGGACGATGCTTTCCCTTTCAACTTTCTGTAACAGAGGCATCTGTTTTTCATAAATCAGATTTCGTATATCCACTTGTAAAACTTCAAGCTAAGCCCTTGTCTCTCCACACAAACCACCAGAAAGACAACCAGCTGCCTTTAGACAACCTGAGATGTGCTTACTGTTGAAAAACTCCAATTTCTACTAAAGTATGTTTATTTTTTAATAGAGGTTAAATTTAACAAACAGTGCAAAGCCCCTCACAATTGTGTTTCCATCCAATAAGTAACTTGTACAAATACAATCGACACCTAAACTTGTGAAAGATGTGTTTGACATGAGATCAGCCAGCTTACCTTGAAGTGAACCCGGAGGTTGGAGCCCCTCGCCTTGCATGCTGAAATAAAAAGCCAAACCTTTAAAAAAATTAAAAACCTAAGCAGCTCAGGTACAATTAATGCATCTTGTTACTTTAAATAGCTCAGATTTTATCAAGTTCTTTTCATGGTTAATCCAAAGGTGTCCTAAGAAATCATCACAGCCATCAAAACGAATAATTATTAGTACGCTTACTTACATTTAGTTGGGTTCTCGGGGTCGAGAGAGTAGCGGACCATTTTCAGACACCTGTAAAAACACAATACGCTCAGTACTTTAGTAAATTCGCCTCCTTTCTTTAGCTCACTTGAGTTAGCTTGTTCAATGCTAATAGATGCTAGATGCTCAGAACATAGTCAGTAAACTTCAAGAAACTACAAATATTACCAAAAGCGTCTTCAAACTCAAGTAACGTGAGATAAACTGCAGTTGTTTCTTATTTTTAACCCGTTTTGATGACCACACGCAGCCAACATGGCGGAAAGTTGCACTAGCCAAACCGGCGTCTTCACAATTATTGAAATACAACTAAAATAAATGCTATTATACACAAACATTTAACACTTTTAGAGCTAGTGATGTATATCAGATAAAAGCCTCTCGGTTAATAAGCAGGATGGTTCATAATTAATAAAGATTAAACACGGATTCTTCTCTTTCTATGGAAAACTGTGCTCGTACCTCTGAGGCCGCTGTAGGAAGAGGAAATTCACAGGCAGCGTTCATCCTCTTCTGCTTCTGGTCGGGTTTGACGCCCCCTGCTGGTCAGGAGGACGCGGTGCTACAAGACTGACTGACCTTTTTGTGTGCCTCTCTGTATGGGCAGTTTCCTGTAATCCTGTGCCACTTTTTGATTATTTTTAGTGCTTGTTGACACGTTTTCTGTCCATTTTTTTGTATTTCTGTTTCTAAGTCATGTTTTGTGCCTTGGTGATTGATCCTCGTAGACAGTTTTATTTTATTTTTTTGCCTTTTTGCTGTAATTTTGTCACTTGTTTCTTAACATTGTTTGACTTTGTGGGCTTAGCTTCTTAGTAACTTTGTATCATTTGATGACCTTTTCTGTAATTTTATGTTTCATTGTGGTTTATAGTCCTGTTTGTGTCACTTTGTAGTTCTGCTGGGATCATTTTTCATTTTTTATGCATTATCATGTTATTTTGTTACAGGTTTTGGTGTCTAACTGTTTCAAACACTATGTCATATTTAATCTTTGTGTAGTCATTCAGTGTCATCATGTGGTATTGTGTCTCTCTGTGGCCACTTTAATTTACAACTTTTTTACAACCTTTACAATTTACAACTTTGTTTGCAACTCATTTTGTGGGTTTTAGTGTTAGAGGGCCTTCAGATCTGGAGACAAAAAGGAACTGAGGAGAGTGCAAAATGATTTTAAATACAAGATCCTCAAAGGCAAAGAAAGCTTCAGGAGAAAGATGGAGGAACAGCTCCAAGTGTGAGAAGTCTGGAGAAATATGAATAATTTCTGATCACTTCAAACACAATGGAGGGGCCACAGTGCCTGCAGACCCGGGGTGGGCTTATGACATGGGATTTTTATTTTTTATATTCATGTTGTATTTGTTTGGATTCTTTATATGCACCAACGGCAGTATTTTGTTGTATTTTTTGCACGTGTCCTCCATTGTCGCCCACAGCTGAAAAAAAGTAAATTATGTTTTTGTTTGTTTGCTTGTCTCTTTATTTTTATTTCTATTAACAAAAAAGGTGGACAGATTTTATTGAAACTTTTATAATGAAATCACTGGTTGCACATCTGCACCTCATTGACTTTTGGAGTCGATCAACTTTAGATGGCTGCCACAGCTAATCCATATTAGCCAACAAATGCTCTGAGTGTGAAATCAGAGGTCGTCAGTCACAATCCCATTCACAAGGTTCTTCTGGGATGTGATGTCTCCTTTAGTTGTGTTGTTTAAAAGTTTTGGGTCTTTTATATCACATATTTAAATTCATTGAAAACTCATTCTCTTTTGTACTTTTTACCTATAATGCAGTGGTTCTTAATTACTGTATTTATTCATGTATATTACTAAAGATTTAACCCTAAAAATCATCCATAAAGTGGAGGGGTAGTATTATACATGGGTTATTTCTGATTAGATTTTTATGCTTTTTAAGCTCAAAAAATGATGATCGTATTATACATGAATAAATATATGCCGATTTGAAAAAACTATTTATAATCTGATATTTAATTATCTGTAAAACCACTCTGACTTTCTGGCTCTTATACCGTCTGCATATAATTATCTGATAATAGTAAGGGAAGCACTGCATTAATTAAGAGAACAAGTATTCTTACCGTTTACTTATTAAATTTGTTTCTTTTGATGCGTTGAATCGTTAATTTAAAATCTATTTTATTTTAAATGAAAAAAATATTTTTAACTTCAAGCTATGCATTTTTAGTTTGTGGTGTTGCCTCCTTTGGGCCAATATACATATATAT